AAAAAAAGAAAAAAAGAAGAAAGGGGGGGGGGGGATGTACCTGTTTCATGTGGTATGACAAGTAAGATTATTGATGGTAACTTTCTTATTTTCAGATTTTTCCTTCTGGCTGATTATGATTCTTACATTAAGTGTCAAGAGAGAGTGAGTGACATGTACACAGTGAGTATTTACTTGTCCTTAAATTATTATTATCATTATCTATACTTGTTTTCTAACTTAATACACCAACAATATGATGAGATTCTATAGAGTTTAACTTCTGTTTTTTTTTATTTGTAGAACAACGAAGAGTGGACGAAGATGGCCATTTTGAATATTGCCTCATCTGGCAAATTTTCCAGTGATAGAACAATCTGTGAGTATGCTCGGGAAATCTGGGGTATTGAGCCAAGCTGGGAGAAACTTCCTGCACCCCATGAGCCCAGAGAAGTAATGGATGACCCTGTTTCACTCTCCAGCACTTACTAAGCATTGGTTGAAATTATTCTTCAGGTTGTCATAATAGGCCATAAAAACTAAGAGAACCCCTTTCCAACTGAATGTGTATTGCTGAAATGATATTTTTGTTAAAATATATGCCACCCTAAAAATTCTTCATGGAGGCTGCAAGTGTGTATGTTTGTTTATGAGAACTTCAAACTAGTTTTTGTTCTATCAGTTTTGAAACTTGCTGTGTTTGCCATAGGGTTTGGAAGGTCTAAGAACAGTTACTTTGTTAATGTAAAGGCACTGTGTGGTAGGTTACAGAAACACCTGTTGTGAATGTTTGTTGTTGTATTCTTGATTTAGAGTATATCCTATTTGTGGCAAAATTATTTCAATATTCAAAGTATATACAGAATTTGGTAAAATGTGTAAACAGACTCTTGTGAGGACATTAACTAAAGTCAATATGGAACAATTTTTGTTCATGTTTTAACTAAAAGCAAATGGTAGTTTTATTTTTTCTGTAATAGATTAATGTTGTAGCTTCTTTATATAAATACCTAAACTGTTTTCATAATTTCTATTGCTTTATTTTGTTTGTATTGTTATTTTATATCAACATTATTGTTCACTGGACATTCCAATATTGGGAAAATATTTGAACAGATTTTCCCGTTTTGTCTAGTTGATACCAAGTTTTGAAAATAAAATATTTTTGTAATGTATAATATTAAAATAAAGTGCTATAGAATCTCGTCATAAACAAGTATTCGTACACAGTTAATAACCAATTATGTATGACCAAATATTTGTAGTTAACTTGTAATTCTTTATTTGTTGAAGGTTTGTTTGTAATTTGAATATTTTTACGCTGTCTTTTATACTTGCTTAATAAAGTTCGCGGGAAAGAAAATTCAGTTTGTGTGTGTAATTATTCTCAGAATAAGATGATTTTGCAACTTGCTGTTAGTTGTTAAAACTTAACTTTTAGGAATTTGTTCAATCTGTAGTAAATCATGTAAACGTTTACTTTATAATTTGTCAATGAAAATGTTCACACTTTTTTATTATTATTATTATTATAATTAAAAGCACGTTCTTAAAGGTAAGGGACAACAACGAGCCTGATGGGTTTTTCTTCAAGCTTATCCCATCCACTTTGAAAAGAAGAAAGGCTAATACAATTTAAAGAAAGGGATGTATTCCTGGGCCATTGTATAATTTGCAATCAGAAAAAATTGTCTATGATAACATAGCAATCTTTCTTACAAGAAAGTATATGTAACACCTATATGACTGAACTAGTTCCACAAATAAATAAGGCGAGAAGAACATAAACGTTATCTTGAATTTTCTGTATTAAAATAACTTTCGTATTGGTCAAAGAACCTGTTACTTACTTTCACCCCTGCAAAATACTTGCACCACACTATGTACATAAAGGGAAGGGGAGGATACAACTTTACTTAATACGTAATTGTACAAAGTAAAAACTCTACTAGTATACATACAGAAAAATAATGGAAACGTCAAAACTAAAGGTGTGTCGAAATTACCCAAAAAAGCAACTACAAAATAAATGCAAGAAAGAGAAACTAACATCCTTTACAAAAAATAAATTAATTAAAACTAAATAAAATGGCACTTAATACTATCTTCTGATCAAAGAAAGTTACATAAGTAGATTAAAACTACAAATACCTTCAAAGGAGCTTAACTAATTAAATCTGATTGAGAACTCCTTAGGTTTAGAAAAAAAAAAAAAAAAAAAGGTGCTGGCAAAAATGAATTGAGTGTGTGGCTAGAAGGACTGAAATCTAAATTGGTGGACAAACTGGTAGTTACACTTATAATATTGAAAAGAATTTTACAGCTAATCCCCACGTTTATTGTGTAACTTTGGGCATGATGGTGGGTATAGAGTATGGTAAAAGTGGACAGAAAGAGTAAGACCTACCAAAGGAATCTGTTGGAGAGAAAGAATACCTAACTGGTACAGCTTTTGAGGTACAGATGGATGTTGCAGGCATAGTTGTCATAGATTCAGAACCAGCAGACAGTGACTTTGTCATAGAAGATGAAGATCTAAGATCACTGGGTGGAGATGATATGTACGAGGACATCAGCATAAGTAAAGAACTGACTGGCAAGCAGAAGAAATAAAAAAGCAACCCTGAATTCCAAATATCAAGAACTGGACTACTTGCAAAACTTGAACAGAAATTAGACCACCAACTAGCCTGCTACCTCAAACCAGATGATTACGGCAATATATAATGCGTTATCAACCAAAACAGCTCATTGTTGAAGCAAGAAAAAAAGTCCATGCACAAAAAGAAACTAGATCAACTAAGGAAACTACAACGACTTGAAGTGAAACACAACAATGCAGCTCAGCCTAACCTTGTAATCAACAGATCTGACCGGACACTCAACGACACAGAACTTCAACTTCTAAACAAAGGCATCAACTTTGCCGTCAACCACAAGACGGCTCTATGCCTATAGTTCAAGGCGTTCCTATAAGATCTAGCCAGAAGACTAGTGAACCACTACATAAAAGAACAAAAGACCACCTCTACCTCCAACTACAGAAAGAAGAAATCCATGACATCAACGAACAGACTTTTATTACGGGCAACTACAACAAAATGTGGTTTCCCGATATTCCCAAAAACTGTATTTTAAACAACTTTTTTAAAGAATTCTCAAACAAGACTATTAATATAGTCAACCAATACCGTAAACTGAAAAGTAACAAGATCAAATCCATTTATAATCTGAAAAAAGACACTAACATTAAAATTCTAAAAGCTGATAAAGGCAACACCAATGTCATCATGAACAATTCAGAATACATCGACAAAATGAACATCCTTTCCGATAAAAAGAAATTCAAAGCCATCCCAAACAACCCAACAAACACACACGAAAAACAACTAAACAGAATTTTATTACAGATAAAAAAGATAATTTAATTACTGACGATCTTTATTTTATCTACGTAAAACTGATTCATGCACACGACAACTCTATGGCATTCCTAAACCACACAAACAGGACTGCCCTCTACAACCTATGCTGTACACTTATGATTCCTTCAACTACAATCTTGGCAAATACATAGCCTGGGCTCTCACACCATATGTGATATCTGCTGGTTCATTTTTTAAAGATTACTTCAATTTCAAATATACACTAGACCAACTAAATTCGAAAGCCTTAATGGCTAGTTTTGTTGTCGTATCACTCTTCACCGAAGTCCCCGCCAAAGAAGCTCGTAATATTGCACTCGACCTCCACATTAATGACCCCAACAAGTTAATCCACATCCCCAGCACACTTTTTGCTTCTCTCTTAGAACTTACAACAACTAAAACCAACTTCATTTTTAACAACGAACATTTCCTTCAGATAGATGGTTTAAATATGGGCAATCCTGGTTTACCCGTTCTTGCCAATATATTTATGACCCAGATCGAAACACAAGCCATAAATTCTGCGCTTCATCCCCCACTATACTGGTACAGGTATGTCAATGACACTTTTGCTGGTTTCACTTCTACAGAACACACACTAACTTTCTTTGAACACATAAATTCCATTCATCCCAACATCAAATTTACCACAGAATACGAAAACAATAAACAGTTATCTTTTCTTAACCTCAACATTATTAGATCCGACACGCAGTTTAAAGCCAAAATTCATCGTAAGAACACACACGCCGGCCTCTACATCCCCTGGAATTCCGCTCATGACAACACACAAAAAATCAATACATTCAAAAACACAGCCACAAGACTCTGTTCAACTGACTACATAAATGAAGAAATCAAACACACAAAGCATTCCTTCATTCACACCAATAAATTTCTACCAGCTATTGTTGAAAAACTCTCCAACATTCGCG